GTCAGCCCATCACAGACACCCTGGGGTTTGTGTCCCTGGGCTGATCCTGCCCATCCTCAGGATGATGGGCTGGGCTGAGCTGWGCTCTCCAGAGGGAATCCAGCACCATCCCTGAGCCTTGCTGGACCAAACTCAGGCACATCTGGGGCAGCAGGAAGGGCTGGGTGCTCATCTGGGTTCCTGGAGGGGCTGATCCATCCCTGGTGATTCCCTGAGCTGTGGTAGAGGAGGGTGCTGTGTTGGCAGCCCTGGCTGCCTTTCATAGTTTGATTATTTTAAAAGTAACTATGCAAATTCCTTTTAAACTGACCCATGGAAACTTAATAACACATGGCTTGGATTTTATGTAATTGCCTTTTTCCTGCCAAAGAGCATTCAGCCTKTCTGTAGGAAAAGGAGGTGCAAAGGCACCTCTCTTTTGAGGCAGCAGCTCTGAAGATACAGCACTCAAATTCCTTTTTCACTTACATTTGCATTGAGAAGCACAATAAAAATCATTTATTAAAAAGAAATATCCGGGGGCTAGAGTTGTTATTGAGAGCCTTTACTCAGCCATCTCTCAAATAAAAACAAAACAAGACAGAGAAAGAAGTATCTAATCAAATAGAATCGGAATTGCTTTTGTAAAGAAGTCTTCTCATTATCTGGGTTAGGGATGGGATCTGAAGAATATTTCTTTTTTCCACATATTGTTTGAAATAATCTGGTTAAACCATATGCTTGTCTTGTAATTTCTTACAGATGGTCACAAGAACAAAGAAAATATTTGTAGGTGGATTATCAGCTAATACAGTAGTGGAAGACGTGAAGCAATACTTTGAACAGTTTGGCAAGGTAAGTTCTGCCCAAGTGAGCACTACATAGCTCTTCTTTCTTCCCTTTGTTTTTGAAGTTTTGTTTTGAAAAACAAAAGTGCATTGAGGACTGAGCTCAAAGGAAGGCCAAGTTTTTGCCTTTCCGTGTCATTGGTTGAAGCTTCTGGAATTCCTTTTCTGTTTGTTGCTTGTGTGTGTACAACATTGCCAACACTGTTTACTTCCATTAAAGAAAAAAAAAAGCATCGTTGGGAGGTGAATCTGTGCCTTTTCAGGAAGAATTTGACCCTTAGCTGAATGATTACACAGTTGTCTTCTCCATAAAATCAGCCTTCTGTCTGCCCCGATTCCAGTGGCARAGAGGGCACAAAGACGTATTGGAGAGCTCATTAAGTTGTGAAAATGCCTGAAGGAACCACGTGAAAAGCAACAGTAATGTGGAAGTCACTAGAATATCCACTTAACTTCTTACTAGAAAATCCTTCTGCAAGTATGTGTAGAATCCTGGCATCATTAAAAAAAMCAACCTGAAACACAGCAAAAAACCCTTAGCAAAACCCCAAAACAGGCAAGTTTATGTAGAGAAGGAGATCTGAGCCTTGCTAGAATTTTTTTGCAGTGATGTAACAGCTCAAATCACACTGTCCAGGCTCTGACTGGGGTTTAGTGACTCTAAATTTTGACTCTAAATTTTTAGTGACTCGAAAGTGATTTCAGGCAGCTTCCTGGATCCCCATGACTTCTGGATAATTGTTCAGGAATGCCATGGGTGAGGAGCTCACGGAGCAGTTTGCTCTGAGAGCAGCTTGTGATTCCACCTTCCAGGGAATTCCTGCCAGCCCTGCTGTCCATGGAAATCCATGGATTCCATCTCCATGGATTCCAGCCCAGCAGCTCCATTCCTGCCTTTTGGAATGCTACAATTGATGTTTTAGATGGGAGATTGCGTGAGGACGCAGCGGGATATTCCAGAGCAAAGCAGCTCCCATTCCTTGTAGTTAGTTTATATTTCTTTCATCTGCCCTGAAAAGCCTGAGCCAGGCAGGATTTTGTTGAGGACTGAGGAGGCGAGTTTATAAATGGTCCCTGTGCTGGATTGATAGTTGTTTTGCAAACCAGTCATTTTATTTTCAATAATAATCTTCGATTCCGGCAGGATGTTTACAGCCTGCTGAGCCTTTTATTAAAGGATTACACGAGCTTTTGGATGTTTCTTCTGTAGTTACTTCTAATTGCAGAACTCCACTAACCTGTATTTTTCAAGTTAATAATAGTTTCAGTATAAGTGCTTTGCATATTGTCTGGATGTTGTCTTAATATAGTCTTTTTAATTTCACCATCTGGTAGTTTCATGCTTGCAATTTTACAGTCCCTGAGAATGCAGCAGCCAGGCTGGGGATTCGGGATGCTTTGGTTCTGCTTTCACGCTCTGCCATTCTTGAGACAGCTTAGCAGAGGTTTTGCCTTTCCAAAGGCAGTACTTTGGAAAAATCAAGTGCTTTTTTTTTTCAAGTGTCTTAATTTTGCAGGCTGAAAAATTAAGGAGCTGTAAATTGTCCGAGTTGGGATCAAAACAGTGATCCACATCCATTGGCCAGCTCTGCCTTTGCTTYGAGCTCCCTTAAAATAAAACAAATTGCATTACATAATTAACGTGCCAGGAGCCGCCCCTGTTTGATAAGAGCATCTCAGGTGATTTGCTCTTTGAAATGTTGAGCTTATTTATCTGTGTGTGGAAAAAATTGCTACCGCCTGTTGTGATTGCTGAAACCCTGTTTGTACTTGTTGTGAGAGGAGCTTTGCAGCCAGGGCAGGTTGTTTTGGTTACTGGATTCAGTTTTCAGAGGGGACATGGGGACAGCAGCCACCAGATTTGGGGCTGGGCAGGCTCACTGGTGTGACTGGAAAGGGATCAAGTGTTCAATTTAAACCTGCAACTTATTGAAAAGTCAGTGGCAGAACCTTTGTCTCAAAGAAAAGGAAAAGCTTTAGTAAACCCTTTTCTTCAGTGATAAAGTGCCTGATGATACAGCACCGGAGTTTGTGGTAATGATAATTCCTGAAATTTGACAAGTGAGATTTCTCATAGTGATTGGTTTTGGTTTCCGAAAAAGCCAACGAGTCCCAGGTTTCCTTTTGGGAAGGTATCCTCAGCTGCCGTGAACTGTTTAGGAAAACTGGGAAAAATTATGTGAGTGAAGCCAAAAAACATCTCTGAATGAGCAGTAAGCCATAAGCATTTACAATTAGAAGAAAAAAAAAAAACCAAGCCATTGTCTTACTCCCTGATCTAACAGTCTAATGCAGTTGTTTTTGGGATCTTCTCCTATTTCAGTCAAAGATATTTCAACTGTTCTTACAAACAAAATAAATTCACTGTCCATGTTGACCCATCCGGGATTTGCAGCAYTGCCCTTGTGCTGAGTGTGAAAAGCTGCTGAGGGAAGGCTTTAAAAGAATTCAAATGAGAAGTTTTTGGGCTGAGGAGATCCAGGGGAAGCTCGGTGGGGTTGGCATTGCTGGAGAAGCCACGGTGCCACTCTGAGGTGTGGGCAGTGCTGGGGCTTCAATCTGAAGCTTTCTGGAAGTGTGGAGTTCTGAGATGGGACAGACTGAAGCGTTTAAGGCATCGTTTAAAAAAGAAAAAAATGCAGGATGCTCCTGTAGGCTCCCCTGGAGTGCTGTGAGCAGCAGAGGGGTGCCCWTGTGCCACCCTGGCTGCTGGGCACRGGSACAGGCAGAGCTGGTGGTTCCCAGGTGCCGCTCCCTGCCCGTGACTGGCAATTCCACTTCACATGGCCAACTGTGTAATTAGTTTGGAAGACTTATGCCTAGTCATTGGTTTATCCTAATCGGCTTTGGCTTTTCCCAACAACAAAGTGAGCTTATTTTCCTAAGCTGAAACAACTCTGCTCCCTTTGTTCCTCTCTTTTATTGTCTCATTCCTTTCATTCTGTTTTACTGCCAAAGTTTTGTTTCATTAGGCCTACAAGTCATTTCCAATCCAGTGGGCTGCTACAATAAGGCCTTTATAACTCAGCTGCCCTGGTTCCCATGTCCCTTCTGGTACAGAGCCAGGATTTGCTGTTTGACATGGGATTTTAACCCTTTGGGGGCTGCTTCCCCTTTGGTGGGGCTGGGGATGGACCCCTGATGGATCCTAATGATTGCGTGCTGCTGTTAATTGATAATTTAATGGGTTGGGCTCCAGGTAACGAGTTCAGGCCCAATTATGGAAACAGAATTGGAGTGAAAAACCTTCCTGCTCTAATGAGTCGTGGTGGGAACAGTGCCTGGAATGAAAAGGCCACTGTGTCCTTGCAGCACGGTGGGAACAGAGTTCTTGCTGGTGAAGGTATGTTCCAGTTGTCCCGAGCTATTAGATCAGTAGGACTGTTCTTGTAAGAAAATCATCTTGTCTTGTGTGGGAGAGAACACATTTAAATTTATCCTTTTTTTTTTGAATCAGAATGGTGGTGTTTGAAGGAGATGTGTGAAATAGCTTTGTGAACAAACAACACTTATTATACATATTGTTGTTTCAGACTGCTGGAAGAGATGGGATGGTGCTCCCCAGTGTGGGAACGCTGGCTTTTCATTTTTCCTTTCACAGTAATCCTAAAATGACTTTCAGGGAAGGGGGCTCTGGTTCTTGGTTTTTTTTTTATTTTTTTTTATTTTAGATTTCCAAGTGGCATTGGCCCAGACCAGTTTGCATTAATTTTGTTTTCTGTCCTGGCTTGCCACAAGGTCCCTCAGACCAATCCTAGGCAGCTTCACTTGGAATATGTTGTTTCCTCGGAAATGGCTTTTAAGATTTGGAAATTCTGAGATGAGACAGGATTTCTGAATTACCCCTGTGGATCTGAAATGTTTTGTASAGTCACTTGTTACTTCCTGTGAGATGCAGAACTGACCAGTGGAATAATAATAATATCTGGATTCTGAGTAGGTTTTTTTTTTTTTTTCCATGAAAGTACTGAGCTTTTGGAAATGTGTAGTTTTTTCATCCCTTCCTTCTGTAGCCTGATTTAGTGTTTGGTGGCAGTAAAATGAGGGAAGGCACCTTCTCACACTGTYCTGGCTCCAGGCACACCTCCACAGCCCCATGGTGGAGCCAAAGCTGGAAACTGTGAACAGCAGAACACAAGAATGAGAATTTCTGCCTTTGGTTATACCATACCCTGCATTATAACACAGACCCTGGGGCAAATAACAACCAGTTAACCTTTGAAAAAAAAACAACCTTTGTGATCAAGTCCCTGTTCATTCTCTGGGTAAGTGTGTCAGGAGGAAAGGAGGTGGGATCCACACTGAGGATTTCAGCCTATAATCGTGTGGTTTACATAAATCCCTTCCTGACAGCTGGGAAAATATAAATCAGGAAAACAGGAGAGAAAACTCCTCCTTGTTTGGCCAGGCTGTCTGGCTGTGAACGAGTTAATGCACTGCYGTGGTATTAAGCACTCCAATGGTTTACTTTTCCCTGAGACCTCGAGTATGGCCTCTGAAGATGTTTTTACAATAAAGTTGTTAGCATGAGAAAAGGTGGTTTTCTCACCATGGGTTCATTTTGGGGGGGATTTGGAAGTCTGTGTGGAGCTGGGGCTAAGGCCAGAGTCAGGAGGTGCAAGGAATTCTGCTCGTATGAAAGTGAGAGCTTAGTTMATTTAGCCTTGGCAGAGAGTTTGAATTGTATTGTCACCTCGGTTRGACATTGATATGTAGATTTAACGGTCAATAGGAGACATGGATGGGCTGTCCTTAAARCATTTGCTTTGCAGAAAAGTCATTTTTTTTGGTTTGACGGATGGTTAGCCTTTCACATTTTTCAGCGCTGTGTTTCTCAATTCAGTCTTTGAGAATTGGTTATGTTTTATGAAATGAAGGGACAAATTTGGGCTCTTATTTGCACTGTAGTCTGTAATAGCCAGAGTTCACAAAACATTTGCAATGTGCAGTGAAACAGAGAAGGTGATGSTTTTTTCTCCAGATGGTTTTCCCTTCCTGGTGTGGAGC